CATGTGATGTTGTTCCTATCCAAGCTTATTTTAATTCAGAATACAAGAATTAATAAGAAAATCTCACTAACATGGTCTCACTGCATTTGTGTTTTCTGCTACCCAGCCATTGTCTCTTGCATTACAATATAAGTTCTTGAATTCTGATGAGTATTCCCCTATAATACAGCAATACATGGAGCGTGTGTAATAGAACTTGTTAAGCATGCAGGGTGTATATGTGTACATCAGCTGTTACCCATTTGGCAATTCTGTTGAAAGCTTTAGCCAGAGGCCAGATATGGCAGATATAAAGGAAAAAAAAATCAGATTGTGTAAATAGTGACAACTTCATTGCCCATTATAGAGCCATGACAGTTTATTCCAGTGGAGCAACTGACTGTAAGAACTTGAATCCCTGAATTATTTTGATCTCAGGAGCTTCACATCTCTGTGAAAGGGCAATATTATTATTCCTGGATGATAGTGTCAGGTGGATTCAATTTGCTCCAATCAGGCTGGGAGATGTGTTACAGCCTCCTTGAAATTAAGGTCCTGGACAAAAGACCTTAGGAACAAGACTGGGATAGAAATAAATGACAGCTATTTCCTGCAAATCAGCAAGAGTAGGTTATTGATGTTTTTATTTCATTTAGAGTTTCAGGGTGAAAGATTTTATGGGATGGATAGTTCTTAATTTTTTTTTATCCTGTAATTTATGGAGCTTTTTGTTTTGTTTTTTTGAAACATATAGTTACCTATTACACTGGGAAACTACTCTTGCAATATGGCAGGATGTCACTTTTTATTTTACTGAAGAGGAATACCATGTTTGCTTCTCTGATTCCTCCAATATTCCACTCTTTTCGAGGAATTAATGAACTATTTATTCAGGTCCCTTTTTACAATAAAGAAGGCTAAGATTCTTCATGTTTTGCTATTGATTAACCCAAATATTCTTTTTTATATTTTTATCAACATCTGTAATTCCAAAAATCTTCCTTGATTTTGATTGCGCTTTCCTCTATTACTGTTCTTTACAAGAGCTTCCCACAGGTAGTGTTTCACAGAAGCTTTAACATGTGAGTTGGACAGTGCATTACAAAAATGAGTGCTGGAGAATGCTGAGTAGGAGAGGATCAAGAAAGAGTAACATAATTTTTTTTTTTACTGCAAAAGCTTAAATCAGAAAAGATTTTATGGAATTAAAATGGAATCTTATCTGAATCCTGCTAAACATCTACACACAATACTTCTCAGCTCTGTGTTGCTGACAATAGGCAGGCAGTTTACTATTATATATCAATATAGTTGAATATTCCACTTAACCTATTAGTGTACTTGTGGTGGCTTGAGCAGCTGGCTGCCAGACGCCCACCCAGCTGCTCTTTCACTCCTCTCCGCAGCAGGACAGGGGGAGAAAATACAATGGAAAAGCTCATGAGTTGAGATAAAGACAGAGACATCACTTAGCAGTTATTAGTGTGGGCAAAACAGATTTAACTAAAGGAAAATTATTTTAATTTATTGCCAATTAAAGTAGATGTGGACAGTGATAAACCCCAACAAACTAAAACAACACCTTCCTCCACCCCACATTCTTTCTTTTCCAATGCTCAGTTTCACTCCATCATTACCAATTCCTCTACCTCACCCCAACCCAATCCCTGCCCTGCACAGCACATGAAGATTTTTCTCTATGCTATTAGCAGTTAGAGATCAAAAGTATCTTTCATCTGTATTATATTTATCGATATTATTAATATTTTGGGGCTTTTCTTCTTCCATACCCTTTTTCACATCACGTTGCCATGATAAGGAATGTGTTCTGTGAAAGTTTTAAGAGATTTTGTACATCAAGCAAAGCATACCATGAAAATATTTCATCATTTTAGGTCTCTCAGGAGCCTCTCAGAATCACTCTGGCTTGCCCCCATCACTGTCTCACCAACATAATCGGTAAAAGGGATCATGCCCATTGCAAAAACAATTTCATGACATAAGAAACTTTCCTGGTATTGGTTCTGAGCTACCATCATCAAAGTCGTTGGTATACCATGGAGCATGCATAGGTTTTTTTGGATACCTTCATGCAGAAGAAAAAGGAATGATTAATCTCAATCTAAATTACTTTTGTTTCTGATTCACGGAGGATCTTGGCTCCTAAAGCATTACATGTACTTAGGAGTCACATCCTTAGTGACATACCATGACCAGGTACCATAGTCAACCTTGAACTTTGCATCAGGGTTTCTTCTGACCACCCTAAATAGGATTTCAGCCAGATTCTAAAGCATGTATGTGTAAATGCTGTCTGTGTGGCAGTTATTCAAGCTCCCTTTGAATTCTATCCATCCATTCAGTCATCCCTGCCAAATCAGTCTCTGGTGCCCAAACCTACTAAGATGTGTTTTAATGGCGACAGTAACAGGCTGACTTAAAAAGAAAAGCTGCCAGTGGCACCAGGAAACACTTGGGTGGTAAAGTGCTAGAACGGGTTGCCCCAGGCAGGTTGTAAAAAAGCCAGATCCTGAGAGAACTACATTTTTTTATGTACATGTATTACTTTCTTTTTTTTTTTATCAGTGCTTTATTGAGGGTCTACTTTACTTAAATGACAAGAAGCTTTCTGTTTTGACTGACTTAGCTGAGGCTACTTATATCTATGACAGATATGCTGCCGTGAGACAGAAGAGAAACTGTCAACCAAATGTACAGTCAGGATGGAAGAGCCCCTCTATTCTTTTTCCTTCACTATGATGGGCTTAAGGGGGCAAAATCCTTCATGTCCATCCCTCTCTCCTCTGTATATCTGGCACATACCCCATTTCACTAAACAGATAACAGAGAACGTGCATTTTATGGCAACATTTTTTGCACCATAGGCACAGTGCTCTTTTGAGAGCAAGACAAATGGTGCTGTGGACATGTGCTGTTAGGAAAACAGATTTCAGTCAAAGTCAAGAAGATGTATCTGTTTGGGGAACATTTCATGAATCACTTTTATTTGAAATCAGGATTGTGAACAAATACTGCTGCAATATTATAAAAATGTCATGTGTTTACACAGTATTACACCTGGCCTAACTGCTCTTTCAGTCTGGCATCCGTGTTTTCCCTAATCCCCATGAGCACAGCCATAGACACACCATAGGAACTGTGGCCTCCACTGTCCCTAGAAACCACATAAATCTGAATCTGGCCTTCGCTTAAAATAGATTGTCCCTAGTGTAAGGGAAATAAATCTACCCTGAAAATGTCCATATGTATGGAATCAAATACAAAAGTGTATCTGAGCTTTTTTTTTTGGTGCAACTAAAAGTGCTTCATAAATATGACTCATACAGTATTTGGCCTGTTCGATTCAGGTGGGGGTTGCTTTAGTGTTTGCCTGAGTTTTTTTTAAATCTTCGTTAATACAAATTGAAGTCGGGATAAAAAATTAAAAATAATAAAAAACTCAAACAGCATGAAAAGTTTGAGTAAATTCATATCCAAAAAAACAAAGCTGAAAAATATCTATAATGCATTTATATAATAACATCCACAGTACTTCCCACTGTGTTTATTGAGTTGGCTCCTTTTTATAATTATTTGGCTGTTTCTAGCAGGGACCCATGAGAAAGAGGAACAAAGCTCCCATCAGGTCATTATTTTTCAGATTAGTGAAGTCCCAGCATTCCTTGGTGTCACTGCCAGCATTTTTATTAAGTCAACCTGTTACTTTCACCATTAAAACACATCTTAGTAGGTACAGGTAATAGAGACTGGCTTGGCAGGGATTACTAAATGGGTGGACAGAATTCAAAGGGAGCTTGAATAACTGCCACACAGACAGCATTTACACATACATGCTTTAGAAGTCTGACTGAAATCCTACATCCAGGTGAATGATAAATAAAAGCATTTGTTCTTTTGGTGGTTGCTAGTGGCTCTGTTTTATTATTTTCATGCTGGACAGCTAAAAAGTAGAAAGTGTGGCAGCAGGACATCATTATGATAGGAGAATATCTGAAAATGTACAGCTTTAGCTAGGTATCCACAAGTTTCTTCCCTGCCCAATTAAAGGTTCACCCTTTGGTATCTACTAAAATTTGGATGAAAGTTTCATGTGAACAGGCTGTCTCTCAGGATTTCTACACAGAATTTTCTCCTCTCATTCAGGCTGAATAGGTGCAAAGAACAGTAAGGGATAATAAAAAACAAGAAGGAGAGTAGCAATGGCTGTATAAGAGTAATATAATTTCAGTAAATGAAATTGAAATTAACTAATAATAAAAATTAAAAAATAACATCAAAGTGCCTTCCTTTTTTTGTCCTGTGCAAATCCTTGGAACTACTATTGTATTTATTCCTTGTCTTATTCTTGCTTTCCAGTGCTCAGTAATGTGTTTCCTTTGACCTTTATTTGTAAAGCTAGGCCAATATTTTTAATCAAGTGTTTACAGTCAGACGCCTAAATCTATATTAAGCATCTAAATAAGGCTTGCATTTTAAATGAGCTGAGCACTAAGTCAATAGCAGTTGCAGCCTCTGACTACTACTGAAAAGCAGTCCAGCTCTGTAGGTGCCCCGTTCTCTACCCACAGGCTGGAAAATGTTTGCAGCCATTTTGGTATAATTCTTACCCTCACTGTGCTGTGCAGTCCTTAGGTTAAATAAAATCCTGCTAGCATGCTGCATCTTTGATATAAGAACACAGAAGCATTAATGTGTGACCCAGATGTTAGAAATAACTGTACATTTCACAGATATTTATATATTTTGTGATTACACTTACTGTCACAAAACTACTCAAAATCTTATAACTCTGTTGTATTCAGTGCATGATAAAAGAGCTAGCTATATAAAAAGAAAAAAAAATACATTATTTTCCTTTTTGTTAGGGAAATGGTGTATTAGTGGATAGGTGCTTGCTTCTGCTGAAAATATTCGCTCATCTCTTGGATATGATCCTCATACTACCTGTCTCGCAGCTGTCAGTTCCTGATTCAGGCAGGAGCTTGCAGGGATGTGTGCGTTGGCTGGAGGGGATGTCTGGAGGAGCTGGGAAGTAACCAGATGACTGACAGCGATTCAGGCTCGATGCCTTATGGAGGGGGTAGGTACAGAGGAAAGCTAATCCTATAGAGGGAGTTGAAGGGTTTTTTTGAGGGAGGATGAGGGAGGTAGAAAGCATCTGCAGGATTTGCTTTTAGAAAGAATTTAAGGTTACATCTGCATCTCTGCAGCTCAAGGGACCTGGGAGCTAGTAAGTACAGCACATATTATCAGTTACACCAGCACAGTGAAGCTTATATGGTTGTATGAGTGTAACAAACCATATGAACACACTTACTCCAGAATTAATGCTTTTTTTTTTATAATTTCAGAGATATTGTATATAGGTGAAATGTTGGATTTGCTTGTTTTGTTGGGTTCTTTTTAAAGAAAAAACCCTTTTTTTTCCAGTACAGTAAATTACACAGAAATTTAATTTTGTGTGACTGTAGCTGTTTAATTCAGCCCTTACAGTGTCCTGTTGTATTTTCAGCATGTGCACAGCTCTAAGTATACTGTTTTCCTTGCCATAAGGTTAATATTAGTTAGAAATGGAGACCTGCTGGAGATAACACCAATTGCAGAGGAGCTTAGCTAAAAGCAAAAGCTACGGTCTCTTAGATAATACCACAAGACAGCTTGAAAGGCTAATATATCATGCAAATGGTGGACCAGAATCACTTAGGCATAGATGTTCTGTGGGCTGTACAGAAGGAGTGAATCTTTCTGTATTCAGCTGCTCGCGTGTGTGCGCCTCGCTCCCCCTCCACTCGCTCCTCTCCCTCTGTCTCTCCCAGACAGGCGAACAGACCTGCTCCTTCCTTTGTGTTGCCAGTCAGGTCCTCCCTCTGCAGTCTTACACAGGAAGAAGATTTATAACAGCTGCATGCAATGCCAGTGTCTCAAAGAAACAGTATCACGCCATGTGGAGGATTTTTGTTTGGGGTTTGTTTTCTCCACTGAATTGGAAAGGTACATTTTTTAAATCTTAATTATTTTAAACACTTAATTCCTGTGGCTTTTATTTCCTGCTAAATTCTGACCTCCAAATACTATAATCTTTAAATCACAATCTGTTGTCACAGTACTGTAATGGCTGTGATGTTTTAATTGAAAACATGGGGATGTAAGGATTTCGAAAGTATAATTAGGGTACATTTCAATGTGAAGCTGTAAGTGCTGTTCTGTAAGATGGGCATCTGATATTTCTGACATACTGTATCAGAAATATAAGATTCAAACTAGAAAATGAAAATACAGCACACATGCAGTGCAACTGTGTACCATATGTTAAGAAATGTGCACCTCTTAAACAGCGGGCTAATTAGCTAGAGAAAACAGAGATGTCTGAATAATGATGCTAGAAATAAAAAGGATAATGAAATCTTGAGACAGATTTGTGTAGGAGATCCACCTGGCAGCAACTTGCCAGGTTTACCAAATTAAATGAAATCAAAGGAAAATTTATAGGTGGGGAAAAAATGAATGTAAAAGCACTACTTCTCTTTGTTTTAGGCTCTTGGTGGCCTGCTTCTTACCTCCCTGACTAGTGGCATGTATTAAATCAATGGTAAGTGAAGCATCAGAATCAGAGAAGCCCAAAAGCTTAGACATGTTCCCTAGGCTTGGAGAAAATTTCTATAAAATTTGACAAGGGTTAGTTTCTTGGGGTATCTCTCTTCCCAGGTAGTGGCAGGAATACAAAATTAAAATAGATTTCCTTTTGGCATTTCACCTCTTAGCCTCCCTGTTTCTCAGAAATGAACGGACAAGGTTGAATAATTTGATTTCAAGAAATCCCTAAAAGATCTAGCCCTTGTTAGTGTGTAGGTTCAGTATTAATAACAGATTCCTTCTTTAGAGGATTATACAATCTGGAAATATAAACCCTGCATTAAAAAATCAGGAATAGAGGCAGTTGCAATAAGTAGTAAAAACTGCAAAGCAGGCCATGGCAGAGAAGAGTCTGTGTCTAGCTCTTCTAACTCAAATATATGCACTAGTTTCCTTCTTCTACCCTGTTTTACCTCATCCCATAAACAGCAAATCTGCTCATGTTGCTTGGGATTTGCCTTAGGACTTCTCTTCCCAGGATCAATGAGCTCCAGAAGGGTGTTCACTAAATTCACTCACTGTTGATTTTCAGTGGCAGGAGGTCCAGGATGTTCTTACTCTTCTATTTGGAGAAACATAACCAAAATTTAATTCCACTCATGCCTGAAATACTTCCTCCGGTTTTCCTCAAATGTTACTATGTCCACCCAGAACCACTTTTGTTGAATTGCTTTTGAGATCTACTATTACCCAGTATTATCAGTACAATGCTTACTTTTGTTCCTCCTGATAACCAGAGCCTTTGCCCTTCAACTTCTACAGCTAATCCACTGATAGTTTTGGTTGGTGGAGCCTGCAAATGGGCTGACATAACGGATTCCTGTCCCAGTGGCATGTTAAGTTCATATACTTATAGCTGTTTAATCTGTAACACTAACTATATCCATTCTAGCGTGCCAGGAATACTGTATTTACTCAGCTTGGAGTAACATCAGCGAAAGTGCTATGGCATCAGGGAGTTGTCTGCTCCCTCACTGCTATACAATTGGTTGTTGTTGTTTAAAGAAGCTTAGAGCTGATAACAGACAGGCTTCCACAGAATGAGCTTAAAACCTAACAGCCTCCAGAAACTGTTCATAGCTGTGTGGTCTGCTTTTAGTGTAGGACATCATTTTCTCCACTGCTAATTAAATCTGTAATATCTGAACTATTCACATTAAGTTCTTTCTGCAATGTACTCTAATCCAACAGATAAATTTGTGCACATTTTTACATATGAAATGAAACCGCAACATTTTTTAAGTTTGCATGTACATCATGGTGGTTAGATGTCATTTTTGGTCTAGGACACAGTATCCATACAGTTATCTTCTCTTTCCCTCTCTGGTTCACTGAGGTTTACACTGCCTAAGTATGTCACAACTTTTGAGAACTTCTTGGGGCGAGATTTGGACAGCATGTCATTCAGATCTGTACAGAAAAGGTGGCGGTACTTCCTTGAGAAGTACCAAACACAGCAAGCAACAAGGAGGGGCAGGGGCTATAGAAAAGGCTTCAGTGTGCATGCACCTGTACAGAGACACACAGTCTGAGCATGCATTTGCATTAAGCCTATATAGCCATAAGGCTGTGTAAACAGAGCTTGACTTCCAGCACTGGACCCCTGGTTATCACACTGCTTGACTGCTAACAGACTTCATTCTCCTCGCCTTGCCTGGTGCTAACTAGCACCCTGCCAGACAATGCCCAGACATGGGAATAGCATTTGCCGGGAATCTCTCCCAATACCCAACATCACCCTTGATGGTTTCTCTGAAACTGTCTCTGAAGGTTTGGGACCTTGACACACACCTCCTGCCACACACACAACATGCAGCAAGTTCTGTTCCATAGTAGAAAAACACCTGTGTTAAAAGCTGCAATCTGACCCTCACATTATTTTAGATACTTTGTCCCCCTGAGGTGACACTCAAGGCCAAGTGTTATGTAGTATGCCTGCAACCATTGTGTGCCATTTAGCCTCACAGCCAGAAAACAGCCCTTAGCCCTATTTTATTTATTGATGTATATAGCCAGCAAGACCTTCTGATTTAAAAGTTAGGGAACACTGAATGAGTGCAGTGTTGAGCCAGGAGAAAAAAGGAAAACTAAAACAAATGGCCTATGTCTCACATATTTGTCAGCAAGGTTAAAAAAACATGCAGACCGTATGAGAGACAAATGTTTGCTTCCCTCTGTGCCTCAAAGCACCAAAATATCTCAGTGGAATAAACTGAGTTTTTCTACAGACTTGTCACACCACAACAAAATGCTTAATCTCCAGAGAAATCACAGTCAGGCAGCTAATGCTCAGTTGTCTAGGAGAATATTCATGTTAATGTACAGGAGTATAGTCACAGAGCCAGAACAAAGACCTTCCCATGCAGTTTATGGTGTTGAAAGAAATGATTCCAGTTCCCTCTTTCCACATCAGAGATAAATATGGTATTCAGAAAGGGGAAAGAAAACAAATAACCACCTCACAACCTCATCCTACAGGAAGCTGGGATTAAAGTATACTGATTAAATATATACAGCTGTAAGACCATCAGTGATGCCAACAATGTGCTTTATATGAGATATGGAAATATTTAGCCAGTCTTAGTCCCAGCTAGAGGATGTGAACTGAATTTTGAGGAAACAACAGAAACATTGGGAATGCATATAATTCTAAAAATTCTACATAAGAATAAAATCTCTTCTGACTCACAACATGTAACAGGAAATGCTAGCAATGCTATAATGTTTGCAAATAGGCTTTGTAAAAGAAATGAAGCTGTGCAATAGAAAGCTATTGGCCCATCAAACTCAACTATTGAGACTGTAACCCCAGCAAGGACTTAGCTGATTCCATTCATCAAATATACAGTTGGTAATGACTGATGTAGACACAGTATTAAAAATTGTGTTAGGTAATGGCCAAAAGACAAAATATGTCCTATGTACTGACACATTCTTGAGAACAAATGGTATCAAACAGCACTATAGAAAACACAATACTAACATATTAATTCAGAATACAATCCAGAATGCTCATAAATAAAGCTTCAACCAGTGTTCATAAAACTGCTAAAAGTAGCATCATGTTCTTCATGTAGTTAAGACATGTACAACATTTGTATTGTAGTTCCATGAAATCTGTAACTCACAGTTGCAGAAGTTAAAAACTGCTTCTTTTAGAAACAGTCACAGATAATAGTCAAATACTCCTTCAACAAGTCTGGGAAGTTTAAGCTTCCATTCTTACAATCTAGATGGTTCCAATGTGTTAAAATTGTCAGCAACATCAGGACATTATGCACTTTTGGAAAACAGCACCAATGAAGAGCTTTTTCACATAGAAAAAAAAAAGAGTACATAAAACAAGCTTCCACAAGTTTCAGAAACAGAAGTTTGTTTTTTTCCTTTAATAGAGATATAAGATACTTGAGGTTAGAAGGAACCTCAGGAAAGATTATGTGTAAAGTCTTGTTCTAATCAGTGCTGCATGCAGATTTACACAACCTGGTATTGAAAACATCAAAGTAGAGTTTGTGTACCCTCCCTAAGCAACATACTTCACTTACTGGGTGTCCTCATGAGTTATACTCGGCTGGAAACATTCTTTTCCTCAGTCATGTCTATTATTTCTTGCTCTCCTGACATGCATCACTGGAAAACTCACGACATTCTTTTTATAACCTCCTCCCAGGTATTGGCTGCTGGTCCCCTCAAAACTGTCTCTTCTTTAGACTGGAAAATTCCATTTCTTTCCTTGAAGGGCTTTTGTTCCCTGAACCTGTTGTCCATTCATCCCATAGGTTCTTCCAAATGGCAGACTGCCCCTCAAGTCCTTCAGCTATAGCCTCCATATGCATGTCATCTGAAAACTTGATGAAAATATTGTCCATCACATTTTCCTCTGTTTCAGATTCCCAGAAATATGTTCCTGGAGTATGTACTCTGGGTATTTGGTAGGGATTGAAGTAAGACTGAGCTGCCTTTAGTTCTCTGGGTTGTCCTTTTGGAACCTTTAGTTTTGATAGTTTCGATACAGCTCGTCAGATCCATGAGCATTGCATTTATGAGTTCTCAGAAGTAGTCTCTGACTTGATCCTTATCCACTGCTGTTATTCCTTCTCTTCACTGTCATTAAGCACACAGGCCTCAAAAAACTAGGCCCTGAGCATTTCAGCCTTACCAGTGACCACTGTTGCTGAATCACCCTTTTCATTCAGCAATCAGTACATAAATTTTCCTTTGTCAAGCTTTTATTAGTAATGTACAAGCTCTTCTGGTTGCCTTGATGTCCCTGGCAAGCCTTGATTCTAACTGAGCTTTGGTTTCCCTGACGCCATCACTGCATACTAATGCCATGTTTCAGAAATTCCTCCTTTGAAGCCTATCCTTGCTTCCATCTCCTTTATGCTGCCTTTTCTGGTGGATCTTTGTCTTGAGTTATTGATAAATGTACTTGGTTTCCTGACTATCAGCATGAACATTCATAGGCTCAAAAGGTGATGTTGTTACAGACTTGCTGGATTCCCTGAACTCATTTGCCTGTCAGAGCTGCCTCCCATGGAATGCTCCCTTTCAACTCCCCAGATAAGCTGAAGTCTGCCCTCCTAAAGCGCAGCCTCCGTACTGCACTGCTTGCCTTCCTCTGCCTCTTCAAGATTTTGAACTTCACTATTTTGGTGTCATCACAGCCATGGTTTCTACTGGTTATTGTAGTCCCAAAGAGCTGTTGCTAGTTAGTGAATGCCAGAGTCACTTCCACTGTCTGTATCATGAGTTCACCTCAAATACAATCCAGAAGCCTCCTGGATAGCTTGCTTCTCACCATAGTGTCCTCCCAATAGATGTTAAAGTTCCTGTAAGAACCAGTACCATAGGATCCAAAGACTTGCTAACGTTTTAAGTAGACTTTATCCACTTCAACACATTGATCAGGTGATCAGTAACACACTTTCTCCTCAATGTCACCCTCACTGACCACTCTGAGACCCAAAAAGTCTGTCACGCAGCTTTAACATATTTTTTAATACCGTGTCTAAGTCAGTCATTGCTAATAGTTTGTTTGCCGAATGGAATCAACTAAATTCTCGTTGGGTTTCCAGTCTAGATAGTTTAGCTTGATGGGCTGAAACATTTCCTCTTAATGTTTCATTAAAAATTAAAATGTTTTTTAAAACTCAAAACAATTTTAAAATGTACATTACTAGTAAAACTCTGTTAGAATTATATCTATAGTCACAAAATTATTAAACTTATGATAATATAGCACTTTTATCAGTTTACTTGAAGTATTTATATGACACCTGGCATGCTATTTAAATATTTTGTAAGAAATTATTGGAGGGTGAAGAACAGGCAGTACACAACGCGTGTAGACCACCAAGTCCACTCGGTCTTGCAAGTCCAAGAAACAAGATCCTTTCAAAACTGTTCAAATGCAGTAAGTCATTACTGTTACCTTGGGTGAGGGTTGTGAATGGGACAGTGTTGGTAGGAAACTTGATATCCAAGGTAAAAATAGTGTCCTAAATATTTTGCCCACAGCATTTTTGTGAAGCAGTGATGAAGAGGGACAAAACCACAAAAGGATTCTCTTAAATACAGCAAACAGGTGCTGTAGGGACTTCAAACCACTTTTGAAAAGGGCAGGGAGAAACTCTTTCCACTTTATTATGAAAATGAATACACAAGATACTGAAATGTACCAGCTTAGTGTACCAGCTTGCCAGAAGGTCATACAGTCAGTAAGAAGGAGGATTACAGGCCTAAACCTTAGACTAACTAACATAAGCTCCTGACTTAGGCAGAAGAGACTCAGATATTTAACAGATTTGCAATAAAATTAATTGAGAAAGTAATGTAGAGGCTGTCAGTGTAAGGTAGGATGTAAAGGGGAAAATGAATATGAACTCTTTTTTTCATTTTTATTTAGATTCTCAGAGTAGATTAGTCTGGCTTACACATAGCTGTATATTTAGCTATGGTAACAAATATTGCCTAACAGAGGAATATTTCACAGTTAACACAGCCTCTTTCCCTAACAGTAGGCCTTATAAATAAAGAAAAACTGGCAAAAGAGTTCAGATTCATTAATATTGGAGGAAGAAGAGAACTACAAAGCACTCATTATTTTGGACCTTCTAAGAACAGACTGTCAGGCTAACCTGTGAAACAGCTAATCAGTTGGGGTAACCACTTAACTAAGACTCTTGTTTTCTTGATCACACATTTCTTTCTGTTAAATAAACTCACTGCATTTCAAGTTGGTCAGTTATGTTTCTCTTGAAGCCTAAAAGTTGTCAGTGCATAATTAAAGGCAAGGTATGACTATAGACTCCAAATACATGAAAAGCTGATGCAGAAAGGATCTTGTCTGCATCACCAGTAGGTGAGACTGAAAAATAATAAGCTTAAGTTACAACAAAGTTAAGTGTTAGGAGGCAAATTCCAGTGCTAAGGATAGAGACAACCAGGAAGCTAATGGCATGGGAGATTGATGTTTGTTCTAAAAATCTCCAGAGACTGAGTATTTACAGTCAGCTGGATATAAGCATAGTTCAGTTTGCTTTAGAGCAGTGATATGGACGAGAAGTCCTCTTGAGGTCCTTTTCAGGTCTGTGGTTCTATTATTTAAAGCTTCAAAGCCTATCAGACTTTAACGTGTTTCAAATAAATTACATCGTGTTCAGATAGTTGTGAAATATTCAAACTAAACATAAGTTTCATTAAAATCTAGAAAGAGAAATAAGTACACTAAATTAATCTCTCAAGTAGCTCTTTGACCTCTTATGTTTTTCGTTTTGGCTTATTCCTGCCATAGTGCACAAGAAAGCTGCAACTGATAAAAAATACCTGGATAGATGGCAATGACTCAAATTCATCCAGCTGTGCTCATGCTTGACCTGCCTTTTCTTAAGCTGTTTCATCTCATTTTTTACCAGTCATTAAACTTATTGACTAGTGTTTAAGAGACCAGTAAGTGACAAGCTTAAAGCAAGTACACAGAAAGTCTGTGTACAACTGAGATGTGTTGCTTGTTTATGGTAGCACTTTTTCTGCAACACCTGGCCCCATCTCTGAACAGTGGATGTATTGACACCCAGCATATTGCATCTGAAAGTTGGAGCTTGAATAGATTGTGCCAAGTAATGAAATATTAGGAAACAGGACAACTCCTAAATAAAGATTCACTACTACTTGCTTACTGGTCCCAAGTAAGACATAATTCTTTTCTATTTTTTCAGTCAGTAAAATGCTTTGTAGTTTTCCTCCAGATTCAGCTGTACCAGAACATAAAGAAGGTCCTCTCTGTCTAGCTTTGCTGTTCCATAGATAACCTTTTTTTTAACCTAATGCAGATTTATTTAATTTTAACTTTTAATACATTTCAGTAAAACAGTAAAACAGACTGCTACCAAAGAAAGAGTAATGAGACAAATATTGCAAGTCTAAATAGATAAGAATTTTCAACTTGCTAATCAGGTAAAAATAATCACCTAGGTTTAAAGGTAATAAATCCTGTCACATTGAAACCACATGATTACTATAACATTTCATACAACCAAATATTTAGAACTTAAATAATATTGGTTTTGTGAACAGCTCAGACTTCCATTAACAGCAGTGAACTTGCACTTCTGTGCATTGTTACAATGAGTGAATTTATACCAGAAGAAAACCAGGAAATTCACAATAAGGGCCAATGCAATTAGTTATACAATGAGTGGTGTCAAAGATGCCAGCCCATACATGTCTAAGTATGAACTTTGCAGAAGAAATCGGAGCATCCCAACTCCAGTTAAACTATTCAGAGACATCAGGATTCAGAGCATTGTATTAAGTCAGAAAAGAAAAGTAGAAATACCAGATTGAAAGAAAAAAAATTGAAAGAAACAGATTGATCAGATGAGACAAACCAGAAAATCCCATATTTTTCAGCTGTACTATATGTCATAGGAAGAACATATTACCAAAATACTGTGGAGAAAAGAGTGATTTAGAGAAGAATTCAGTGCATAAGAACTTCTGGATTATGTTTAACATTCATCAGAAAATTCTGTACTGTTAGTTGTTGTCACATACATGGCAAGGGTCCCATGTTACTAGAGTTTCACATCTCCTTGATGTTTCTTGTAGGCAGCTCCTCTAGTCACTGACTCTCCCTTGTCCTCACAGCAGCCAACTGACTCCAGTTCCCACCAATCCACTCTTTTATAACTCTCTTCTGATTGGCTGCAGCTGTGGCCTGTTAACATCAGGCCTGCTCCTAATCTTTAGTAATTGGTTCAGTTGCAACTCTTAAGGGGATGAGACTACATTCTATACCACTTATATTTGCCCATACTGTATCTCCCTACAGTTAGTCACCTAGAGTTTGATTCAGATAAAAAAAAATGAAACCTCACTTTTTTTTTTTAACTTTTAAACAAGTTTGGCTACTTCTCTAGTCTAGAGTAGATTCTGCCTTAGTAGACACAATGTAATGCTTCCAGAGGGAAATGCATCCCTCTTCTTAAACTCCTTTCTCAGGCACTTCTAAAGAATGATCTGTCCCATCTTAGTTCTTTCCATGGTCCACTGAGGAAATCTAAAAAATTAACTTAACCAAGTTACCTATATACTACTAAAGGACAGCTTTTTCTAAAAGTCTTTCTGTAGATACTGTGAGGTTCCACATCTACAACATTGTATATTTTTTCCAGGTAATTAATAAATTGTAATTAAGCTAAACCTCTAAAGTAAAACAAAAATTGGATTTCCATCTGTAGCAGTCTTCTAGACTCAAGTTCATGACTATCTCATTGCAGTTGGGTTTATTCATTGTGCTGGTACAGCTTTGCTAGGGCAATGTGCAAACTAACAGGTGTGCTATAATAACCAAACATGAAAGAAGTATGAACCTAAGTTAGTTCTAGAGTACTATGAAGAATTAAAGATATTAGAAAACAGGAGAATATCATCTCCTCTGGGTGATACCATGGTACTCATTCTTGTGGTAGGGAGCCCTTCCTTGCTGAAGGACTTGCAACACCACGTGCACTGTAATATTTTTATTTGCTTTCAGAAACAGCTGAAGAGACAGAATAGTGTGATTTTGTGTTTCTCTGTATTAAAAGTCTGTAAAAATCTGTTCTTTATTTGAAGTCTGTAAGAAACCACAAGCAACTCCGTATGTGCCTTCCTTTTGTGCTACATTTGTCCTTTTTATTTTGCAGTGTATAAAGTCACCACTGGAACCCAGTGACAGACCTTGATTAACTGTGCTTAATCTATTCCCACAGAAAAATGGACCAAAGAAAGTGTTCTAAAACAAGATAATAAAATGTTATCATTTCTCCTCTCTCATTTTATTAAATATGCTCATCTTCTGTGCAAAGTGAGCCTATCCAGTTGGCATCTCTGTGATGAGACAGAATGCATAAGGAAAAATTGGTTTTGAAACGTATGTTTACATATTCTATCTGCAATGGTAATCTTACTGACAGACATTTGTCACTGATCATTCTGTTGTGGTACAGTATAATTTGTACTTCTTTTCTCTTTGTTACTGGAAGTTAAATGGGAAAATAGATAACTGTAGAAAAGCCTGTAACTTTTTTTTTTTTTAACTACCATTCATCTCTAAGTCAGCTCCAAATGCAGGAATACCTCCCAATATCCATTAGGCCCTTTGTGACTGTATTTCTGTTTTCTAGCACAAGAACAGAGATGTTCAATGAATTCAAGAGGGGGAAAATTTCATACTGCTAAAACAAAACATTCACTCTGTAACAAGACTTTAATTTTCATCAATGTCACAGAATGTTGTTGAAGGTTATAGTTGAGCAAGTTTTAGATGGTGGTTAGATATTTATATGCCTAGCAGGAAAAGAAAAATCTAGTATCAGAATATTTACTAACAACAATAGAATTTTTAAAAAGGAGATCAAAATTCACATTTCAGGCCTTAAGGAAATCAGGCTCAGGGAATAGGCATGAGCCATTTAATGAAGAATTTTTCTCATGGTTTGAATCACACATCTTCCTGTGGGAAACTTGTTGCTTGCCTCAGAGTCTGAGTGATGGACCTAGACAACCTGTTTTAGCAATGTTCTTATGTAAAACCCTGAGAAAATGCCAATAATGGTCTCTGCTGTTATCTACCCTTGTGCACACCACATTTATCCCTAGGAAGATGATAGATGTGTTGAAGTAAGGAAAGAGCATTGGAAGCCTGGAGCTGAACTGGTCTTCTTTTATAACCAACAGAATGCAAAGAAGGAAAACAGTTCAAGGGATAACTTACAACAAACCCAAAAGTCACATCTTATTTTCACTCACAACAGATAAGAAAAATCCTTGGTATCTCTCGTGGGTTGACCATGTCCAACTACCACAGGCCCACCAAGCTTCTCAGCTGGACTGTGGACTGGGGAGAAGAAAATAAAATAAAAGACTTGTGGGGTGGGTGAAATAAGGATAGAGAGGTCATTGTAATGGGCAAAACAGACTTGGAAAAATGAATTTAGTTTATCAACAATTAACAATGAGGTAGGATAAGAAGGAGTAAGACCAAATCTAAAAGCACCTTCCCTTCTCACCCCTCTTTCTGGGCTCAGCTTCACTCAGATTTCTCTACTTCCCACAAGAGGTCCAGGGGAATGGGGAATGGGGGTTGTGGTCAGTTCATTACAAGTTGGGCTGCTCATTCCTCCTTGCACACTCCCCTTGCTGCAGTGTGAGGTCCCTGCTACAGCAAAGTCCTCCAGGGTAAGTCCTTCCTGTGGACTGTAGTTCTTCACAAACTGTTCCAGTGCGTGTCCCTTCCACAGGGTGCAGTAATTCAGGAACAAACTGCATCAGCATAGGTGCCCCACGGGGTCACAAATCCTGATGGCAAGCCTGCTCCAGAGGGCCTTCCTCTCTTTATGGACCACAGGTCCTGTCAGAAGCCCGCTCCAGTGTGCATTTCCCATGGGGTCCTCCACAGACTGCAGGTGGATCTCTGCTCCACCAGGGACCTTCTGCAGGGGCATAGCTGCTTCACCATGGGCTGCAGGGGAATGTCTACACTGACCTTGGTGTCTGCAGGATTATTTCTCTTACATGTTCTCATTCTCTCTGTGGCTGCTGTTGTGAAGAAGTTTTCCCCCACTTCTTATCGATGTTGTCCCAGAGGTTCTGTCCCTGCTGCTGGTGGGCTCAGCCTTGGCCAGTGTGGTGGGTCCTTCTTGGAGACAGCTGGTGGTGGCTTCTTGTACATGGGAGAAGTTTCTGGCAGATTCTCCCAGAAGTCACCCTTGTGGCCACCCTGCTACCAAAACCCTGCCACATAAAGTCAGATACGCCAGGATCTTTTCAGGTCCATAACCTTTTTTGGTTAAATCCATGTTATCATACATCCTGCATAACTGACACCAACTCAACTGCCGCACCTCGCCTGTTGCACAAAGATCTCAAAGGGTGTATTTGGAACACTTTCATCCTGATATTCTGTAAAAAACTTTCCAACATACTTTTTCTTCATGTCTGTGGTATTAATTTAGGACTAACATTACTCCATGTATTCAGTTTAATTCCATGGACATACTCCATGAAGAAGAACTACATACTCCACGTACGTTATCTGTAGATATATATTTGTTTTTATATGATTTCATATATCATATATTATTAACTTGTATAATATATGCATTAAATATAGAATACTCATGTATTTTTGTACTGTTCAATATGTTATATGAAGTTATAATCAGAGTTTGGTGAGACAACTGGGAAGCTAATCTGTAGGCATAGATCTGGAATGCCATCTGAAGCATTTCTCTAAGTATTCTCCAAATATTGAACCAGTTTTAGTTGTGTAAGTGTAGAATTTCTTCAGGATGAAATCAAGAGGCAGTACATAGTTGGCTAGAAAATAAGAGCCTAGTGGCAATAGGACAAACTGTCTGTCTTGAGCTGTACTCTTGACTTGAGCATTCTTCCAAGCTGCCTATTCATTTTTCTCCTTTGATGTTTTGTAAGCTTATACAACAGATATTCTCCCTTTCTCTCCCCACACATTTTTCTTTTTAAAATTCTCTACTTCCTTTTATTTCCTTAATTCCTTTATTTTAAAATTAGTTTATTTTCTTTGGTATTAATGCAAAATATGGTCTAAACTTGATATTCAATTGCTTCATTTGCATGCTTCATCACTGGCCTTCCCTTGCTTTTTCCTTTATCAGCTTCATCCAAAATGCTGATCTAGTAATCATCTACATTATGGACAACCTCTATTATGATCTATTCATTAACCTCTCATTATCCCCATTTCTGACTTCCAAACTCTGCATAACTCTACTCTCATTACTGGCAATTTTCTCTGCAATTTCTTAACTTTATCCTTTTATCCTCTATGTCATGTGCCCTTCATTTTGTTCTTTCATTTCTGTCTTTAGGCCTCAAATTTTGGGGAGTCTTTGAGTCAAAGGTGAACATATAAACCAAAAGTGAAAGTGCCTGCAATCAAAGAAACTCTCTGTCGTGAACAGTCATGGAAATCGTAAAAGATCTATAGAGTGAATTTTCAAAGATTGTCTTCACTCCCTTTTATCTTTTCTGCCCTGTTAAAATACTTTGCATTTTTGGTTTCTAAATTCTCAAGATGTTATAAAAAGTGCATAGGCCTTGTAAGCCTATTTACAGTACTAAGGTAGGTTAAACCTAACATATGTTAGCAAGGCCAATATCTTGTTAAAGGCCAAATTACAAAATATAATCAGGAATTAGATTAGATTAGATTGTAATATAAACCTGGATTATCTACCTGGGTAGATAATCCCAGATTAACATTTTCTATCAGATGTTCATGTCAAATTAAATACATCCTTTTCTACTCTAAGGCAGCAAGTTAGGAAATCATTGCTCATCCTCCACTGAGATACAGTGGCATTATACTCAGAGAAGCAGGGAGTGTGCTTGTGTTCAAGGCTAAAAATATTTTTCTTTCAAGATGCTGCCGTGGAACACAATCAGGATCAAAACTCACTGCTGAAATCAGTAATAGGAAAGAGAATACTTTCTTACAGTCAGAAGGACTTTTCTTCTTCGCTGCAATTGCAGCTGAGATAGGTGAACCAATACTGGCCTTCAGGTATATTAAATTATGTCTCATTGATGGTGAAATCCAGTTTCCAGCTAATACTCCATTTAGTAGATGGCTTAAAGTGCACCTTAATCTGCATCGTGCCCCAAGTTTGACATTATTTGTGTAGGGCATCGCAGGTTGATAGTATTTTTTTTCTGCTGACAGGCATGGTTCTCTCCTCCATTAAAGCTTATGGATATTTATAACTCAAAGTGTTCTTGTAGTGGCTGGTAATATAGAACACTTCTCTGTAGTCCACTATTTGACAGTTTCTACTTACTGAGATCTAACTGATAAGAACATCCATAGCTCTTTTGGTTACTACATAGTTGTGCCAAGGTGATCCTGATCCTTGAACTGGAGGAAGCAAAGACACAAAAACCTATTTTCTTACCCAAATTCATGTCAGAGTCTTTTTAGCAGCAATAAACACCATCTTACTGAGATAAATAGCAAATCAGCTCTAACTTCTTCATCACTTTTTCTTGTTTCTTCAAAATAAATGTAGACCTTCAACATCCCAGATTACAACACTGCTTGCATAGATATAAATCAAAGTACATTTTCTTCATGCTTGAGAACATGAAAACACCATGTATAAAACTCCAGTGCATTAGGAAGCAGGAAATTAGATTTAGAACTAGGGAATCATTGAAAGGATCTTTAAATTATTTCATCCAACCTCCTACTAAAAGCAGGAGTATCATAACCTAAAAACCTTCATGAGAAGAGAATCCATAACTCCTCTGTGTAATCTTAGTGCTGTGATAAACCACCATTTTCCAGCATTCCAGTGCTGAAAGATGTATTCATAACGCCCTGCTTGAGCCTTCCAACAAGTAGTTTGTGATTGTTGCGTGTCAGCAAGTCAAGGTATAGACTAAATCACAGAATGGTTTGGGTTGCAAAGGACCTTGAAGATCATCTAGTTCCAGCAGGCAGGGATGCCATCCTCTAGACCAGGTTGCTTGGGTCTCCATCTGACCTGGCCTCAAGCACTGCCAGGAATTGGGCATCTGCAAGTTCTCTGGGCAACCTGTTCCAGTGCCTCACCTCCCTCTGGGTCAAGAATTTCTTGTAACATCTAATTTATACCTGCTCTCTTTCATTCTAAAGTCATTTCCCCTTGTCCTGTCGCTATCTGCCCATATGAAAAGTCCCCCCTCTCCCTTCTTTCTTGTAAGGCATCTTAAGGTACTGGGAGGCCCAATGACATCTCCCCAAAGGTCTCCACTTCTCCACGCTTAAGAACACACCCAGCTCTTTCAGCCTGTCTTCATAGGAGATGTCCTCTCTGACAGACCCTTTTGGGGACCAAAAGCTGGATGCAATAGCTGAGATGTGGCAGCATGCAGTAGAAGTGAATAATAAGTTCCTTTGACCCTTTCTAGTAGAGAAAATTCTC